CGGGGCCGGCGGAGCCGCTCCGGCCCCTCGCGTGTTCTGCAGCAGGAGCAGCCTGGGGCCGGGCAGCTCCGCACGTCCCAGCAGGTAGGAGAGGGCTGCAGCTCCGCGCGGGCTCAGCGGGTGAGCTGGGCTCGTTCCTGCCGTGTTCCAATAACGACTTGTCTTCTTTCGTTGTGTGATTCATTTTCTGGATTAAAATTAGAGGCTGAAGGAGCTGTGATTTAACGGGAGATTTTGCTTGATTTTTGGGGTAATCATAGTAAAAGCACATTGTATGAAACAACTCTTTTCTGTGACTTAACAGTAGGAAATTTGGAAGTGGACATGGAATCCATAAACATGGAGAGAGAAAGTGTATCTCTGCTATTTCCAAAAATAATATCCATCTATTTTTAGAGATGGAATCAAAACCACAGCTGTAGCACATCTGGAAATTGCGTGTGTGTTTCACAGAGTAGACGTTTTACTCTTGCGCCTCCTTCCCTGTGTGAATCCGTGGCGTTTGCAGCAGACAGCATCGCACCCGGTGCGTCGAGCCCGGCCCGGTGTCGGTCTGCAAGGGCTCAGCACGAGGTCGAGCTCTACGTGCGCTCTGCCCACGGGGACTAGTGGCCTTCCTAAAGTGTCTTTGAATTGACCCAGCGTCTTTAAGGCTGGTTCAGGTCTTTGCAGGTGTTCTGACGGCAGTTCAGGTGTTTTGCTCTCGGTTACAGCAGCACAGAGCAGACCTGCTGCCCTAAATGCCCTTGCTCTGCAACGGGGCGGCTCGAGCGGGGTTTACGTCGTCCCCGCGCGCGGGAGTTCGGAGGTGCGCGGCAGAGCAAGGGCTTGGCCTCTTCTCGTGCGTTTTGGCCGTAGAACCATGAGGAAAGCAGCTTTGCTGCGATATAAGTGACGTATTTAGAGGGAGCTAATGAGGGATCCATGCGGAGCCGGAGCGGGACGCGGCTCTCGCTGGCGGCTCGAAGCTGCCCTCTTCAGTAAACTCGGCGCGTTCCCACCACGCTCCGGCAGCGCGGCAAGGCCCGAGCGCCCGCGGGGTCCCCATTTAGCCAGGTTTGGGTCCGAGGAGCGGAGTGGAGGGAGGGCAGTGGCCTCACACGCTCCGTGCTGGGGCCGGAGAGCGTTTCCCCGGCCTCCTCCCTCCGCTCCTGGTGTGCGGCGTCTGCTCCCCCAGCCCGATCCTCGCTCCCAGGGGCAGGTTCCTCCCTGGAAGCTGCTCTGCCTCCCTCGGGGGCTGCTGTCCCGTCCCGATAACCAGGGCGGCCGTCCAGGCGTGCTGCAGGGCCCCATCCTGCCCGGGAGCAGGACTGCCGCGGGGAGACGTCGCGTTTTGTGCGTCTCCAGGCGGGACGCACGGACAGGGTTCCGTGCGCGGGGTCCCCTCTTGCTTCCCCCGTCTTCCTGCCGCTTCCCTGTGGCTTTCATTCAAAATAAATTCTCCTTTCATGTTTTCACATTTCTGTGTAGAAAACTAATTATTTTATTTTACATTCTTACTTGTTTGGACAGCTCACTTCTTAATTAATCCTTATCCTTTCTTTGTGCTCCTTGAATAACAACAATATCAGATTTGTCTGGAGTGATTAATGCCTTGTGCTTTCCAGGTCCTAAGTTGAGTAAAGATTTATAGACCAATGTTTTCTGTTAGTCAGATTTTTCTTTTTGTGTGTTTTTTTCCCCTCACATTATACTCATTGGCATTTGCTTCTATTTTTCAGGTGTAAATACTGTGACAGGTCATTCAGCATTTCCTCCAACCTCCAGCGGCATGTTCGAAACATCCATAACAAGGAGAAGCCATTTAAATGTCACCTGTGTAACCGATGCTTCGGGCAGCAGACCAACCTGGACCGACACCTGAAGAAGCACGAACACGAGAACGTTCCAGGTAGCGCTGCCGTTCAATCCCCCTGCTCACGCTGGGAAGCTCTTGTGAGAGCCCCATTTCTTGACACTGAGGATCATTAGGTGGCAGAGAAACATGCCAGCTCCTGCTGCAGCAAGAGGCGTTTGTGCTGGTGCGTGCTCAAAGCGCACGCCTGCGCTCTTGCTGAGCTGTGTCCCGTGGTGTTTCCGTGGGTTTCCATAGGTTTCCCCATGGTTTCCATGGAGGTTCAAGTAGAGTGTGTTTGTAGACACATGTGAAGTTCAAGAAGCCCAATAAGTTCTGCCCTAAGAACTGGATGAAGAACCTTCTATACTGAAGTCAACCAAGTGATCGTTGAGCCCAGAGAAAAAAAAATGTGGAAAAGTTACAGGCAAACAACTATACAATGAATAGTGGTTCTTAAATTGTATATACCATCCCTAATTGCTAAATACAGTCTGTGTTTCTCTCTGTAGGTAAGTCTGGAAAACTGAGCTTCCTTTGGCAGCTTTGATTCATAACATCACTGTAAATATTGAATTCTTAATGTGAATTACGGGGATTACTGCACAGTATTCCACCTCTCTCTTTTCTCCTCACAATAGCTTTGGCAATACCTGACTGTTTCTCCTGTTTTTCTCTGTTCTTGCCTCCCTCATCAGTGAGCCAGCACTCTGGAGTCATCACAAACCACCTTGGGACCAGTGCCTCTTCCCCAAACTCAGAATCAGACAACCATGCACTTTTAGATGAAAAAGAGGATTCATATTTTTCTGAAATAAGAAATTTTATTGCAAATAGTGAGATCAATCAAGCATCAACTTTAGCAGATAAAAGGTAAGCAAATAAATGAATTTATCTCATAACATGCATTGTTAACATGGTTAAAAGTCTAATCATCCTCTGTCCTTTTTGCCTTGATTCAAAATGCTCAAGAGAAAGTCCTCAGTTTGGAAAGTGCATTCAGCTTGCAGCTCCCAGCAGGCAGGTAGCTCCCACGTGAGAGTGCAAAGCCAACTTACTTTCTTTGCTACATAAAACTGTCGTCATCGAGCCACTACGTCCCACCATAAAAGCATTCAGCCTGCTCCGTGGGAGCACAGAGCTTGCTGATTAAGGACAACAGAGGCACCTGAACTTTGAATATATCAGTTGGTTTCAAGTCTGTCCCTCCAGCCAGCCAGAGAGCAAACTGTGGCTTTTGGCAAAGGAGAATGTGGGATAAGCTGCCCGCAGGCTTCTCAATGACCTTGAGCCTGTCAGTGTGTGTTGAGATGAGCGTGGGGAGACAGTGCCCGCTCTGCCGCTCCCTCTTCAGGCTCTTGAATTCCTTCCTATTCCTGGGAAAACTTCCCCAGGAGCCTCTCATTCTATCCATGGTGCAGAGGCCCAGGAGGTTTTGGTTGCGTTTACAAATGTGCAAGTCAGGCAGATGTCGGATGGGACCGTAGTGCACGTGCAGAGATCCTGCTTTGCCAGCAGTGGAATCTCCTTCTGGAATCGCCTGCGGAGAATACAAGACTTGGCTTTTCCCTGAGTGCTTGTAAAAATGCTAAATTTAGGCAGAGTCTCCGTTTCCTTTCCAGTTTCACAGTCTTCATTTCATTTGCTGGATGCGAAAGCAGAATTATCTCATACACTGACTCCTCACCAGAGTTCTTGTTTAGACTGTGTGCTTGGAGCAAAACAAGGGGGATGGTGAGAACTAAGGATCTGTTGGAATTTCCTGGGGGAAACTGGGAATCTCTTGACATTACTTGATACAGAGAAAAAAAAAAAGAGGCAAGGGGAGGAACTCTCAGCAGGCTGGGGAAATTCTTCCAGAGGAAGAGGCGCTGTGGGCTTCTACCTTAAAAAATCTAGTACCATCCTGCAAAGCAAACCCGCTGCTGAAGTACTTAGAGTAAGTGGCAAGATTCAGGGCTTGGGAAATCTATGAATTTCCCCTTCATTTTTTAAACCTTATTTTGACGGAGTGATATTTTATCTGCCCACGAACCCAATGGGTTATTCTGGGTTGTACAAATGTCATTTTGCTCTGGGGCCAGCTGTAACTACATTTCTGCTGCTCTCTTGTTTTCACAAGTAGCTATTTAATGCCCATACCAAGGCTAAAGGCTAAAACACAAGTATGAGCAATTCTCAGCGTGTGGCAGTGCACCTAAGGAAGAGGAAGATGCTGAGATGTGCTGGCATGTGACGATGGCGAGGACGTTGAGCTTGGCTGATGCCACCTGGTGGCATCCTGCTGCCTTCAACGTCCATCACGCTGGTGACCATGTTTCCTCTTAGAGAGCATTAGGTGCAGACAGGTGTGACTAGGAGAAGTGACGCAAGAGGGAGTTGGGGCCGGCTGGTGGTCACGCAGCGAGGAAGCTGCCGCGTCCTGCTCGCTTGCAGGGAGCTGGCTGGAATGTGCTCGGGCAGAGAGAAAGAAAAGCCCTTTGTCCCACAGACGTGGTATTTTAAGAGAAGAAAATGTGTCTCTTAAATCCAGATTAGACAAAATCCTAGCTTGAAAGGCGTTTGAGTTGGTAGATACTTGACATGAGCATTGGCCCTTAGACATGGCAAGGAGTGATTTTTAACTGGCTAAAAAACAGCCATTTTCCTTCTTGCTGTTTAAATCAGATGTATATGTACATATATATGTGTCTGTATGCATGTATATATGGACATGTGCAAAATGAACTAAGCTTTGCACTACAGTGGAAATGCTTGACTTCACTCATTTGGCATCTCCCCCCTCTCCTTTTTTTTTCCTTCCACTTTGACCCAATATTTCAGACCAGAAATCCAGGATATTGATGGCAATTCCCAGTGTCATGGATTAGCAAATGAGAAAACAGAAGATGTGGATGATGAAGATGAAGAACTGGAAGAGGAAGACGATGACAGCCTGACAGGGAAGTCACAGGATGAAACGGTATCACCCACCACAGAGCCCCGAGGAGCGTTTGAGGATGAGGAGGATGAAGAACCCACATCTCTCACCATGAGCTTTGACCACACCCGAAGGTGAGGTGGGCCGTTTCCTTTGAGAAGTCACATAGTGGTCAGAGTTTTACTGTGTCCATGGTGGATTGTGAGTGCTGTTCTTTTGTTTTCCAACCCATGTATCACATCTCCCATTTGATTCAAGCATTCACTTGAGAGATTCCATTTTCACTATGGTGGGGGACACAAAAAGCCTTGGGCCGCACGACAGTCTGTGATAAGATGTGTATCCAAGACTTGAAAAGTTTGTGTCAGGAGAGCACCTAGTGCAGAATAGAAAACGGATCTTTCAGAGAACTACCAGTCAGTGGATCAGGTGTTTTGTCTCCAAAACACAGGGCAGTAAAAATCTATTTGGTCCTGCTCTACATATTTTAGCTGTAGTAAAATGGGGTTGTCTTCAAGTGGATTCTTAAAGCCCTGGGGAAAACAAGTGAAATTTTGCCTGAAGTCGTGCCATGCCTAGAGACATTTAGAATCTGTTGCTCGTAGGAAGGCTTAGCCTTCCTTTTAGCCACAGTTTTACAACTAGTATTCATAGCAAGTGTTCATGATGCACAGAAGTGTTATGTGTCGTCTCAGCATCACTACTTTCGTTGCAACGTCAAGAGAACATAGTAGAGCAGCTTGCTTTAGAATTTAGTGTAGTGCCAAACCTTTCAAGGAGTGGACAGCATTTGGACATCTCCCCACAGAAGACCAAAGTGAGCTGTAACCACACTGAACCACAAGCATCTACAGCTCTAACGCTTGTATGTGCATAACCATGCCCTCCGCTTTGTCTTTGCTCTTGCATTTTGTGCCATTTCTGTGTTTGTCCGTGTGTTGTTTCACGCATGTGGCTTGTGAGACCCCCATGGTATGTGCATGCAGGCACCGAGTTAGCAGCACTCACATTGGTAGATTGTGACGGTGAGATGAGCTAACAACAGGTCAACCCCTTCCCCTGGTCATTGGTACAGGTGTATTGAGGAGGACGAAGCCGGCTTGTTAGATTTGGAGCAGATGCCGAATTTTGGGAAGGGGCTGGATCTTCGCAAAGCAGCCGAGGAAGCATTTGAAGTTAAAGATGTGTTTAATTCCACCTTAGACTCTGAGGCAATAAAACAGACTCTGTACAGGCAGGCTAAAAACCAGGTGGGTATCTGACAGACCGTTTTCTCTAGCTCGCCACCAGCACACACTGCAGGACTGGGGACCTGCTGACCTCCTTCAGCCGAGGGCTCGTCCTCCGCTCCCGCTGAGCTGTAGTTGTGACCATCATGAGTGAATCCATGCGAGCCCAGCCCTGCTGCAGCTTCCTGGGGTCAGGAGCGTGGAGTGCACACGAGTTCTAGGTCACCTGCCCACTAAGTCTGTGTTGTGAGAGCATGTGAGACAGTGGCATCCGTCTGGTTCTATCTGTCTGCATAAATGTTGTTAACGATTATTGCTTATTTATACTTTAGGCTAGATCTTCATTTGGTATCTACCAGGAAACTCAAGATTTGGTCCACAGAAACAGCAAAAAGATACAATCATATAATTATGATTGGTGATCAAAAGTGTAGTGGTATTTTCTTGGCTTGCAGTCCAACAGGTCTAGAAAACTTCATTGTCTCCCTGGTTTCTAAAAGCAATCTATAAAATAAAATTCTACCTTGACAGCTAGATCAGTTCAGACCTCCCAAGAAATGTCAAAAAGACCTTTCAGCATCTCCTGGAGTTTTGAAAAAAATCTGGAGGTGCAGGCTAGACCTGTTGGTGCTTTGAGCTTTTGCATTTAGCAAAAATACTCAGTCTTCACATTTGTGAAGTTCAAGTCTTGATCTGTATGAACGCAGTCTCATGAAGGAGCTGCTAAATGAGGCTGCATCACTGGACTGGATGAGAGAGATGCTAGTGAAACCTTCCAACCTCAACTTCAAGCCTCTAACAGGGCGCCCTGAATCCCAGCAGGGAGCCTGGGCTCCTGCTCTCACAGTGCCACTTAGTACCTAACCCAGCTACCTGAAGTGGCCAAAAGCAGATGGGGTGGAAAGTGCCAGTCTGACAAAGAACAGGAAAGCAAAATCTGCAAAATCCAGCAAAATCTGACAGCATTTCCCCATGAATTACCCCTACTGGTACATTTAGGAAGAGTAGGCAGCTCAGACGTTAGCAGAGGTTTGACCACTTTTGATACTGGGGGTGAGCAGAGCTATTGCCTTGGAGCCCTTTCGTAGCCTCCAAGCAACAGAATGGGTCATGAAATCAATTTTAAATGTCCAGCAAGGCGGTAGCTTAATGCTGACCAGCAGAGCATGGTTTCTGATGAAAGGTAGCCCTAACCTGGGAAATTCTTGTCCTGCTTCATAGTAGGTGCTGGTACTGAAGGTGGGGAGGGAAGGCAGCACAAGGTTTCTTTCCTGCTTAAACTGTTTTAAACACAAGCCACTTGCCTGATTCTTCTATGTGTCCTGTTACTAATATACCAACTGTACTAACTATTTAGGAACCGCTTGCTCTTTTCAAATTTGTTCTGCATTGTTGGTTTCAGCCTATCCTTACTTTTTTCATGGGAAGGGGGAGTATTTTATTTATATGTATATATTTTCAGAACTAATAGCCTGGTTGCAGTTAAATTATAATAAATAGCTTGAATACTTCGAACAATCTCTTATCCAGGGACTATAAAAATGAAACCCCATTGAGGTGAGCAGCACAGCAGTCCTCTGTGGCTTTCCCTCAGGCCGTTGGAGACGGGGCATGTCCTTAGGCTGTCCTCGTTCCAGCACACACCGAGGGTGGCCTTGACAAGTGGATGTGACCCAGCTTTATGGGGAGAGGCTCAGGCCGGGTGGCTGGTTAGTGGAGCAGCCTGGGGCCACCTCCCTGCAAAGGAGGGGGCCACCCAGACGCAATTTAATGGATTTAGTCACAAAATAGAAGCAGAGGCTGCACCAGGTGGTGCTAAGCAGGGAGGTGGGGATCCGTGCTCTGGTGTAGGTCACGGGCTGCAGTTTCATTGGCTTTTGCTCTGGCACATGCAGTTACCACCTGCGTGCTCTGGAAGGATGCAGAGGATGCATAAGATAAGCAATCTGGAGAGGGAGAACATCTAGGTTGCAATGAAGCAAGCAGATGAGAAAGAAAAAAGAAAAACACAATCTCAATGAATTTCTCAGCAGACGTTGTTAGCTGTTTCACTTATGTGGTAAAACTACCCCAGCAAGATGATGGCACTGGCAATAGCAGGGAGCGTTTTCGTGCTCTTAGCTGCCCCGTGCGGCTGCGGGCTCGCGCGCGGGGCGGTGAGTCTGCAGGTAGCTTGGATGTCACCGCGCCGCCTCTGTGGCACGTGGTGGGCCCTGCCCTGCGCTGGCCCACGCACCGCGTGGCACCTGCCCGGTGCGCAACGGAGCCCGTGGCGGCACAGGCCCCGCGTCCCGCGCGCTCACCGCTGTCCCGCGTTGCTCTCTCCCTCCAGGCTTTTGCAATGATGCTGTCCCTGTCCGAGAACGCTCCCCTCCACGCGTCCTCCCAGAGCTCTCTGGGTGCTTGGTTGGACATGGCAGGAGCAGCTTCAGAGTCGGGGACCTTTAACCCCATCAACCACCTCTGAGAGGTCACCAAGGCACTGGCCAGAGTCCAAGCGAGGAGGCGGTGGTGCTGCAATTGTCCTAGCAAAAATCCTAGCAAGCAGAAGACGGATGAGAGGGCCTCAGGGAGTCGTCTGGGCTTTTGGCTGGGAAAGAAACCTGTTGCATCCGACCTACAACGCCTGAATTTTCACCTATCCGCAGTTCTCATTCCTAATTTATCAGAACGAACCTCTCCAAAACTGGATAACCCTGATGCAGCCCTAGGATTTCACAATCTCGAAGAGTAGCATAAACAAGACATGAATTGCAACGGTGCAATCAAATATTGGCCCCTTTAACCTTACCGGACAGTATCACCGAGCCAGCAGAGCTTGCCTGTGAACGAAAGCTTGAAACCGTTTGGTTCCCTACCCTTTCAATTCAGCTGAATAACGAAATAATAAGGAAAAACAGAGCGCTGGGTGCGACCTATCCCTGGTGCAATTCTGTCGCAGTCACTGGGTTCCACCAAGGACGGGCAGGCGCAGCCCAAGGAGCTCCGGGAGCGCTGGGCGCTCCGTGCTCGCACGGAAGCCCCGTCCTGCTTGGGGCCGCCCGCAGCGGCCGGCCGGGCCGGGGGGTTTGGAAGCACCACAGAAACGTGGCTCGTGGTCCGGCTGCTCCACAGAGAGCTCCAGTGGGTGCCGCGCGCGGGAAGCGGGAGCTGCGGGCGAGGAGCAGGGACTGCGGGCATGGGGGCAGTTTAGACCCGGTTGCTCCCCAGGGGGTTGCGAGCGGCAGCCCTTGGGTGCTGGTAGGAGCCAGGGACTGCGGCAGGAACTTCTGGCTGCAGCAGCGGTTCGGGCTTGCAGGGTGCTTGGCTGTGCACCGCACGGGCAGCGTTTGACCCACAGGTTAAGCAGAAGATTCAAATCTCCTTCCTTCAGCTTCAGCAAGCGGCGCAGGCACCTGGCGAGTGCAGCCCCGCTCCCGAGCTCGCTGCCACGAC